GCTCCGGCAGATCTGAGTATAGCAGCATGAGAAAGAGGGAGAGACAGGCGGGAACACAGGCATGGGGACTCCCTGAACATCAGCACTCTAGTGTAGAGCCAGAGTGACAGCACTGACGCCTCAGTGTATACAAAGCCAATGACACCGATCCCCACCCAGCTCATCACCTCATACTGTTAGTCATGTTGACAACAGTATGACTGTTGATGCCAAACAAACAAGGTGTAACAATAGTACACATAGCACAAACAAGTAAATGTAGTGCAAACAAATTTTTAAAATTACATAGCACACAAATAAAAGTTATATACTGAAAAATAGAATATGAAATTAATATATCTGAATTCATTCTTTCTTTAGTTTCTGGTAAGTTCTGAATCAAGGATAAAAAAACATCTACACTGACTTCTATTCAGAGGAACAAAAACACTGGTCTTACAATCTGACTCGTCATTTGAACATGTTATTGTCATACCTTATCATTAAATATTTATTTTTAATATCATTTTGAAAACATGTTTATTTACAAAAAAAAAAAACAGTATTAATTATTTACATAGTGCGAAACGGAAAATGCTCCATTCTTTATTAGGTTACCAGGTTAATGGATGGTGAGTGTGGAATTAAGTAAGGTATTGTTTTTAAAGGTGGGTTTTTTAATGGGAAATTTAAAGAAGCCAGTTATCATGACTGCTTGTCTTTGGACTGTGGGACACATGCAAACCCACAAACAGAGCAGAGGTGGGATTGTGGAGGCAACTGTGATACCTACCGGGGCCAATACTGCCACTATTTCTTTGCTGTTTCCTACCCTTTTCTCCTTCTCTGCCTTGCTTCTGCTAAACTCCCTGTTTCCCCCTTTCCCCCCGTTATCGGTCTTCCTTTCTGTTGCCCAGGGAGCTGAAGCAGAGGGTAAGCCAGCAGCCCAACGAGCCCAAGTTCCAGATTCACGACTACATCGAATCTCAGAAGCAGAAGTCGGGGTGCTGTGGCTTCATGTAGAGCCGCCCCGGGATGGCCTCGCTCGAGTGGGCCTGGGGGAACTGGAGGACTGCCGGGAAGGGCCTGTGCCACCATAAGGACAGACGTTCAGATGGGGTTGGGGGGCAGCTTTGCCGGTGTGGCTCAAGCAGGGGAGGGGGGGGGGTGTCACCTGCTTGCTCCCTAGTCTGGTCTGACACATTATGGATGTGAGAGATTGCAGTGCATGATCCTGTGTCTGCCTGACCCCCCCGTAATGCAGACACGGGGAGCATGCCATACTGCTACCTGATTCACTAAGAATTTATCTGAATAAATCTTGGGCTTAATTTGCCAAGTAAGATGGATGTGGTCACCAGCCAGAAAGTATTATTAATAGGTTTTGTAATTTGTTGTATTTAGAGGAAAAAGTTTTTCATCTTTTTCTTCGAGAATGCACTCTTACACAACCTGAATTTGATAAACACCCACCTCTCTTGAGTTGCCACACATTAGAGATTCATATTTGCTTTACAGTGAACTTGCAAATGAAGAATACCAGTGACCCATAACGTGTTAGTCATTGTTTTCGCCACACATGTTCATCAGCTAAAACTGTATTGCTGATTTTCGTAATGCACACAATTCTTTTGCCTGAGCTTGTAAGATGGAGATTAAATGAAAGTGGCTTGTCTTTGTTGAAACGGTTTTCTTTTGTTTTACAGTTGTAGATTCGTATTGTAGTTGTTTGTGGTAAGAAGCTACATTCATATTACGCTAATTTTAACACATTCTGTTGTTTAACAATGAAAATTATAGAGTAACATCCAGTGTGCCAGTATGACAGGACCTGGTACACTGATGGTGCCAAAGAAATCCTACAGTAACTGAGGAGAAACATAAGTAAAAATATTAAGTACCTGTAAAATTCTAGTTTGAAACATGCATATTTCAGTTCGAGCATCATGTTTTTTTCCCTTCAGGATTTTTTTTTCTTATTAACATAGCATGTTCGAAACCCATTTTTATAAATCAGTTGCATATTTAAAATTTACCATACATTTATGTATATGATTGAAACTGATTCACCTTTGAAATTATGTTCCGTTAAACCTTTTGACAACGTTGGGGGTGTAGGTGTGCCCTTGTTTTCATTTTAATTATGTATTAATCCTGTTCCTGCAATAGTTCATCCCTGTTCAGTTCACTGGAGCCCAGGTTTCCAATTACATATGACAATGACAAGAAATGTTTACAAAGCTCTATGAGAAACAGATTTATATTTTATTAACATCTGTTTTTCATTGAGACTGATATAGGTATCTGCCTTGTTATGTACTCTTTTACCTGTGAGTTTATGCTGGTGGTTCTCAGGTATTTGAATGTCATTGACCTATAGAGCGTGATCTGTATGTATCTCCCACTGCTCCCAGTGCACTACTGCACAGTGGGAACCGTTAAGTGGTGGCATGAACACCAAGTAATTTTCATGTATTTTGTGCTATTAAAATATTGGCCATTACTATTTGTGCTGTTTTTGTTTTCTGTGACCTTTTGAATTTGACATGCCGTTTTTACAGTACGTGCACTGTAGTTACTAACTGGTTTTTATTACCCAGGGAAAGCCACCAGCGAAAACACAATATTGAATGAATACCATATATTTCTGCAGCTGAATCGCCTGCTGGGGCAACCAATTACAAAAACACGCAAGAAAAAAAAAATGTAAATCACACATACACTTTAATTTCTTGACTATAATTTCATTAATTCTGCTATTTCTCCATTTCAGCCTTACGATTACTTAGTAAGTTATATCCTGACGTTTTTGTCAGGTGAAATACATTGTTTGAACGTTTCATACTTCTTAAAAGAAAAAAACTAATCCCTTCCAATGAAACCAATACATCTTTCAAAACGAGAGGTGTCGTAGCATACACTTCTATGATTGGGGCTCACGTACTGTAAGTGACCTAAAGCGTGGAACGGCGTCCTTCTCGTGCGGACCGCTGATTGGCGCGTCACCTGTCAACCCAGTGACGTCACGATGTTTTATAAACTAACCAGAGCGGGCAGTCTCGCGTTTGGTGGGTTGGGACAGCTGGGTGCTCGCTGCGCGTTCATAGCCATTATTAAATGAGATTGCGACAGACTGCTGTGCTGCTTGGAAGTGAGTTTCGGTTTAATGTGCAGCAGAAAGTTGATTTACGAATAAGGGTTCTTTTTGTTAATTTTTTTCTCTTCTCAGTTGGACTTGAAACATTTCTTTTGGCACTTTCACATCTCTCCGGGGTAGTTTCTACCGCTTGGGGACACTTTACCGAAAGTAAGTATGTCTAGTGCGCTGCGTCCCAGACAGTGTATTTTAGAAAAGGGGGCCAATGGCTACGGCTTTCATCTCCACGGAGAAAAATCAAAGTCCGGGCAGTTCATTCGCCTGGTCGAACCAGACTCTCCAGCGGAAGCCTCGGGTTTACGTGCTGGGGACAGACTTGTGTTCGTCGGTGGTGAGAACGTAGAGACGGAGAGCCACCAGCAAGTCGTGTCCCGGATACGGGCTGCAGCGGATAGGCTGGAGCTCATCGTGGTGGACAAGGATACCGACGAGCTGCTGACAAAGCACGACCTGAAGTGCCTTATAGAGTACGTGACCGAAGGAATTCCGCTGCCGGGTAACGGCTCCGATGACGGGACTGATGCCCAGAACAGCACCCCGAGGGAGTCGACGCCGGTCCCCGAGGAGAATGGAGCGGTCCCCCTGGAGAAGAAGCTCAGTGTAAGCTCGGACAAGGTGAGCAGCAACTTTCAAATGCATCACCCATAGATAGCATGATGTAGTTACTCGTGTTGCTTTGAAAAGTGAATTAACCGATTCTTCATGGTTTCAAATTTGCCGAAAGGGTTTGTGTTGATTTTGTTGGCAGACTGCTGTTTTGATAAATTTTTTTCGTTTCTGTGATACAGTATGCGTTTACAGCAGTGCCTAGCTTGAACATGCAGCATATTGGCCATAAGTCTATAATTCTTCATTCACTTCACTCATTCGGTCGCCATCCATATCACAGTAGAGTGAGCGTGTTTTTGAGATGGAACCCAGAAGTATGCAGGAGTATGCAAAGATAGCAAACCATTGACCCTTTAAGACAGGCTATCACTTTATCACTCCAAGCAGGGATCCAGGCTTGGATCCAGCGGAGCTCTCCATGTGCACAGCCTGTATGGCACCCTCCCACATTCCAACGACAAGCAGTTCAGGTCAACTTATGGAGCATATGGTTTTTCCTTGGCCCTGCTGATATAAAACTTAGTGGCAGTAGATTAGGAATGTCTCTTTTTTTCCCCCCTTTCCATCTTGGGTGAAAGAAATGTTAAATGTTGGTTCTCCTTTGAGTTGTTTCACTGCCTGACATAGATCTGCATTTTTGTTGAAAAATCCTCTTTTGTTCTTAATGAAGATGACTTGTGATGCTACATATGGTTGAGGTTTTATTTGCTGTTGAAACTTTTGAAAGTGGTCCAGCTTCTACTCATTTTTCTGTAGTGACACTCAGTTTGCTCAACTACTACATGCCACATAGCTTTAGCATCTATAAATGATGATTTAGTTTTGAGCTATTCATATTATAATAATATTCCCAATATGAAAGTTTATGTAAGAATATTCTTACATTTGCGTGGTTTTTTCCTGTGGAAAATGAAATTTCCACCTGCAAGCCAGATTTTATTATGAAGTAACTAACTTTGAGACCTCTTCCAAGTGGGGAGGAAGCTGACGAAATTCCTCATCCTCCACTATGGAAATGGCTGATAGTCCAATGCAGTCATTGCCAGTATTTTAGTAGTTAAGTCTCTAGCTCTGGTGCTGCTAACTTTGAATATTGAAATAGTTTAAATATTGGCTAAGACACATGAGACCGATGCTGATATCGTGATTTTTATTTAATATCAGACAATACCGATGTGTTATCCAGTATATCGTGCCTCTCTGCTTAGAATGTATGGGTTAAGGGATTCCAGATACCTTTAATCACATACCCTTTCTTCAGATGCTCTGTATATTTTTTTAAAATAAAAATCTACATTGGAATATAGGCAATCCTGCAAAAGTAATTTCTATTGGTCAATCACTGTATAGTATGAGTTCAAAGAGACGATGCAATCGTGTCTTTTTAATTTTGACACAAAGAGAAAATGACTGCATGTTTCTATCTTTGTATGAACTGCTTTGTTTAAGGAAAGTGAAATGATCCTTGACCTTGGCAGGCAGGCTGTTTTTGCTTTCTGCAAAGGGAGCCTTGCTGGTGGAAGTGCAGCACAGCTAGTGAGGAAGCTAGTTTTTCTTTTTTTTATTTAAATCTTTCTGGAAGTGTCTTACCATACTAACCGAGTCATGTTTCGCAAGACTTACAAGCTGCTGTTCCCATACAGAGACCTGTTGTGAACTGCAGGCTGTGCTTGTAACCTGTCTGCGAATGATGTTGAATACTGGAATTTGTTATTCCATTTGATAATTTAAAACATTGTAATTTTCCAAAGAACCCCAGGAGGTGATTTTTTTAACGAATCACTCAGGTGGTGCCTAGTGCAGAGAAACACAAACCTCTCTTTTAGCCAAGTGGTTGCTATCATGTCTTTTCCTATGCTCATGGTTGTAAGCACCGCTACCCTCGCACAAACCATGTCTACACTTGCTGCACTAAAATATTAATTTTAAAGTTAAAATGTAATTGAAATTCCTGGCCTAATCTTCAATCTTTGCAACCTTCTCCTTGGCTGATCTGATTGTGTGTCTACCACCCCAGATTATTATGGACTGTAAGAGGATGCAGCCCCTGAGCTCCTCAGCTTAGAGGTGAATTATGCTGGAGTGTCTGATTCTGCGTAGCGTCCCGATCAGCCTTACTCGCCCTACTACCATGTGCTTCTAGGTAGTCATACAGGGCAGGGCAACTAGGAGAGCATTTGTTAAACAATGAAAGCAACTGGTTGTTGTTTAAGATACTAATTGCTTAGATTCATTTACTTGTAAATTAATTAGTAAATATTAAATTGGCATGTGGTAGAAGTTTACAGCAACATGTTGGGTGACACTGTCTAAGCAATTTAAATTAAAAAATATTTAAAACATGGCAGTATTGCAGTGTTGTAAGGAGGGAAGCATCTCCCTGCTTATGGTTGGGTTACACACACAATTGAAACAAAAAAAAAAAAAACAATGGTGAAACCAGGGCTCGGGCCTGTATTGCCTTAGAGAGCCGTGAGCTGTGAATGAATCTGTGGTTTGTTGGCTTCCATCTGCCTCCACCGGCCTTTACAAAAGCTGAGATGCTTTGGGCACATTCATGGCCTGTGGGTCACACACCTGGGCTTGTGTTTGATGTTCACGTCAGGACAGCACAAGGTTCTGCATAGATAAGCTGTTTTTAAACATCATGTTGTAAAAAATCTCCTGCTTCTTTTCATAATAAAATGGAACGGGAGACTTTCCTACACTGTCTGTATATGCATGTTGGATGCCACATTTATTATAATACTATATATGATGTGATGGTGGCTGCTTGTGTGTGTGGTATGTCACACATACGCTCCCCAGTGTCATCCTGTGCTTGATGAGGATGTGGCCCCACACCTCACATTTGAATTTTTGGTGCCTCCTGCTTGATGGTGCTGCAAGCACCTCCAGACGAGACTGTGAGATTCCAGTTCATAGTGATTGAGGCTACTGTGCCCAGCACCCTGCTTCTCATCCAGAAAAACCAAAGCCTATTTACAGGGAAACTGCAGTGCGAGGTGTGGGTTTGACACAATCATGAGGTAACATGTTTTGCCGCATTGCATTCCTCAGTGATGACAGAACATGGTGTGTGGTAATGCCAAAACTTTCTTGTTCGTTTTTTGAAAGTATTTTTTTTATTATTATTATTTTATTTTATTATTTTTTTGCAATGTGGTTAAGCCAACTTTTGGGCAGCCGGCAGCCCTGTTCTGAAAAATATCCCACGAGGTGTAAGCTGTACAGCATAGCTGGGGACGACTCCCCTGTTACGCCTTTTCCCGGAATGACTGATTTAGCTGCTGCCGCAGGAGACTGCTTTAAGGTTGCCGTGGCGACAGTCAGATGGAAAGGATGTGTGTATTCTGTATGTTTTGTGTGCCTGTGGATTACAAAAAAAAAAGGAGAGGCCAATAGGGGAAGCAGGAGCCTTGCAGCTCCCCTGGGAAACCCCTCCCAGCTCCTCTGGGAAACCCCTCCCAGCTCCCCTGGGAAACCTCTCCCAGCTCCTGGACTCTTCCCCACCTCTTGTCCAGAGGAGAATCTGGCACTAATGCGAGTCTGTATCCACACGTACGTCTGTTTAAGTGTTTAACTGAAAAGTTGTATGCTCGCGTTAAGTCGTGGTTTATAATGGAATGTATTCTACTTCATTAAAGAGTTAGGAGAGTAAGAATACTTAACTCGAGAAATGCTTAACATTCGTGGAAATCTGTCATCAGTTTGAAAAATAGGGACCAGTTGTTTTTAAATTAATTATTGCCTTGTGTGACATCTCCTACCAGCCCACTGGCGTTTATGTTCGCATCGTGAGTTACTCTTTTCCAGCCTCTAGTACTGATTAAGCATTTCCATCCCACATAAACTCATGACTTGTGCGTTTATGTTTGACTGCTGAAATTTTGTAATGATACTTGTGTGATTATTAATTTAGAGAGTGGCCGGTGATATCCTAAGCAGTCATTGTGATTTTGTAAAATATTATAACGTTTTTGTGTCCAGACTGGGCTTTTTCAGTGTTACAACTAGTCAGTTATATTTTTAAGCGTATCCTCTCTTATGTAGCACTTCTGTTTTTTTTGTGTCAGTTTAAAGTTAACTTTTACAAATTTATTTGATATACGGTTGTTCGGGCTTTTTGAGGTGTGGTATAGAAATGTTGTACAGAGACTTTTTGTACCAGGGTTTAAGCTGCTTTGGTAAGAATTTCTCATTTTTTTGTATTTGTATGGGAATAAATTTTAATACGTCCTCTCTGTCGACTCTAGTCTTCTTCATATCTATTCTAAACCGTGTGTGTGTGTCCCTGCATGAAAAATTCAGGGGAAACATAGTTTTGGAAGCTGCACAACTCCACCCCCCAGCCATTTGCCAACTGTTGTTTGTTATTCATAGGCTTCTACATTTCCACAATAAAATCCTTCTTGACAGACCTTGGCTAATATATATATTTTTTTAATTTAACTCTGCTTGGTGGAGGTGTGTAAATGTTACATGTAGATGTATATGTAACATCTCTTTAAAGCAAATCTGTTAAGAACAAATGAGCACTTGTTTTTGGAGGATGTTGTCCTGAGACCTTGCCAGCTTGTCATGTCCGGTAATTGTGTGCGTGTGCATTTTTAATGGCAAAGGCTGAGTGACAGAGGTTGTGTAACTCGGGGTGTCTGCTTTCCTTCAGTGTCTGGCACCTCTCGCTGCTGTCGCTTAAGGAAACGGCAGAATCCACAGCGACCCTGACATGTGAGCCGCTTGTGGTCTGAAGGAAGCAAATTAGAGTTGTAGTCCTGCTCTTTCTGCATTATACACATGAGATATGTGTGTGAAAAATTTGCATATTTTATATTCTTTGTATTGGAGGCAGAGTGGAAGGACAGATGAAAATAACGAAATTCTTTTGAAGTTTTGGGCTTAAAATTACAATTCAGCATTTGCCTGTATTCATCTGTAAGTTATTTGGGGGAAAGGGTGGAATGGGCTGTCTGTCATCTCATGATGAGTTTGTCTATCAAAGGAAG